GCAAGGGGGGGGGGGGGGGGGGCTACCTGATTGTGACCTTTGAGTCACCCGCCACTTCCTTCCACATGGTGTTTTGATACGTAATCAAGTGCATCTTCCTGGTCTTTTATTAGCAACTTTAACATTAATTATCCTAAAATTTATATGCTGTCTATCCCAAAATCCGGGTATCATTGGATTCAGCTTCTAAGTTCTATTATTGTACCAAACTTCATTAAAAAGTGTGCGTCAACTCTGGGGGATCTTCTTTTGTCAGGTAGATGTCCGCCTTATGTTATTAAATGATCGACTGTTAACCAAGTTGCTGTTTCCGTTGCTGTTGGCTATTATTGTTCCAGAAATTCCAGAAGTTCCAGAAAGTCTAGTAGTTTCAGAAAACTAATAATTAATAATTTCAGAATAAAAAATTTACATTGGATTTCTTTTTCACCAGAATAGTTTGAGAAAACAGCTAGAAGAACAAGATTCATAACAGGATCGATTTAATCAATGATAGAATGAATTTGATTTGTTTGTAATTTGCAAAAGGATTAGTTTGGAACTATGAAGAACAAATTACTATTTCTATAAGAGATCGACATTATTTTATCTTTCAGCACAACAATTATTTCAACAATTATCAAATTATTATTCATTTTATTTATGTAATAAAGTGAATAAAAACAATGTACAGAAACATCTCTTAGAAAACATAGTAACTATTCTCAAGCTGATGAAACACATCTTAGATTCAGAAAAATCAATGAAAGTCAAACAATGATTTGATGAAAGATCATTATATTTCGATGGATTATTTCGAATAAATTTTAGAATATGTTCTTCTAAGAATTTTTAAACATTCGATGGCTCAAATTATAGCTGGAGAAACGTACTTAATTATTTAAAAAAATGGTGATTGTTATCCTTGAAACGTTATCTTTGGGATTTAATTCTTCGGGATGTATAAGTTTGTCGATGTACGATAAAAAGATACCAAATTAATGTCTAATGAGTAATTTATTTAAAATTTACAGCAATCTGTTTAGTAACCGGCTCAGCCGCCAACTCGCGTCGGTAGATTAAAAGTAATTACCAAACGTCGCATTAACTATTAAATAACTCAACGATCACACCGTTTGCGATATAATTAACTTATCTAGCCTAATCTATTAATTTGTGTATACCTTGTACTTTCGAATCACGAGTTGTCGAGAACAATCGAACCTTCTTAAACGTTGAAGAGATCGAGCTGCCACGACCGAGAAGAGGCAAAAACGGTCCATCGTAGACAATAATTATGTACAAAAATATTTACAGTTCTTTCTCTTAAATACATTAATAGAATACAATGCGGCAATCGTGAAGGACAACGATCAGAACGAAACGCATAGAATCATTCAGCAAGATCAACTTGCTGCGATTCTACTTCTTATGCAACGTCACAATCATGTATCAGCTCATCTCATAGATAATGCTAATATAGTTTTATATTTTGTAAAATGTAAGGGGAAATGCATAGAACAATAATACTTGTGTTTTTGCATTTCCTCGATGAGAATTATGAAACCTGCATCGCTTAGGAGATGAGCTAATATTATTATAATAAATTATCTATACAGTGTGTATTACGTAGACGCTACGTATAATTTATCAGCAAACTGCGGATCTTTATGCAATATAATAATTTTATGTATCTGTTGTAATAAACAGAAATTTCTATCATTCCTTAATAACTTTAACAAGTTAAAAAACTTATATTGGCATTCTTAAATTATTGAAATTTTGCTACTGTTTCAAACAGCACTTACTCTTATTTATTTTTATCATAAATGCATAAAAACCGCAGTCTACTTATCCGCTATGAAAGACCAGGACAGATTGCGTTCTCGTGAGTGATGCACACACGGCTTCCGGTCCATTTCAATGAACGTTAGTTGATCATTTTCAACGAGCAAATTGCCAGTTGACTATCCGGCGCTTCTCCGAAGGGCTTCGTAGAGTCGGGCGCAATGTATTTGTTCACTTGATAGGTCAGCATCGTTTCGTACCCAAACACGTCGATTCCGAGTTGCTGCAACACACAAACACCACGTTCAACACGTTAAAATATCGATGGCCCTCTTAGCAATCTCTGATCTTGAAAGTTCTCCATTTCTTTTTTTTTTGCAAAAATGTCGACGTTCTCAGAAATTTATACAGGGTGTCCCAAAAATGTCTCGAGGTCATTTGAAGCAACTTTGTCCTTAGCGAAAATACAATCCGCGGCTTCGTTTACGAGTTATTAACGAAAAACAGTGACCAATCAGAGGCGAGATCATTTGGCGCGAGACGGCCGAGCCAATGAGCGGAACTGGGCTCCGCGCACTCGTTGGCTGGGCCGCCGCGCGCCAGCCGAGCTCGCCTCTTATTGGTCAGTGTTTTTCGTTAATAACTCGTAAACGAAGCCTCGGAGAAAAATTTCGCAAAGGAAAGAGTTGCTTCAAATGACCTCGGGAGCCTCCCATTTCCGGATCGCGAGACATTTTCGGGACACCCTGTATAGGTTTCTGTCTAGGTGAAAATGTTTCAGAATTAATTGGAAACGCGGAGAAGAAGAGCGTATCAGTTGACAGATTTCCACGCCGGCAATTTCGAAAGGGATTCCGAAGTTAGATTACTCCTACAACCACCCGTGATATTTTACTTAAGAAATTCGTGTTAGTTGCCGCTGATCGAATGTTTACAGAACTGGTTGAACTGGTTGAGCGAAATTGGCAATTCACGCTACAGAACTGATTGAGCGAAATTGGCAACTCGGTTTGTGTAATGTTCTCGTTATAGCTTCATTATAGCCGTCGTAAACGATAATAAGTACTATTGGACACTCTTAACATACAATTTTGAATCCTTAGAATAGTTCCACTTTACTCTGACAAATTCTAACGAACAAGATGAAATACGATTATCGTTCTTTCGACATTCTGGTGTTCTCGTTGCGAATTCTACACAGTTTTTACCGATTATATAGATAAATACGATGTTCGGTATAACATTCTTAGTTCCCCATTTTCAAATTTAAAATATCCATGAGGATTTATAAGTTATTTAGTTTGAAAAATTCTGTAGAAATGTTCGAAAGAAATTTGATATATAATATGTATCAATATATAATATATATAATAAATAAATAAATAAATAAATATATATATATATATATATATATATATATATATATATATATATATATATATATATTAACCCTTTGCACTCGAGGGCTCCGGAGCGGAGCCATTTAAAATTTGTCTTCAAACTCGAGGGCTCCGCTACGGAGACAATGCAAATAATTTTCAGTTTTTAACATACGAACAAAAACAAATCGTAAAAATTAGTTATAGGATGTTTCGCTGTTGGTGACAAATGACGTTTGTATCCATAAACAATTAAAAAAATAATAACATACAACGATGACTTTTCTTTTAATGCTTATATCATGAACTTACATGTGAATATGATCTTTTCACTAAAATGGCTTCGAGTTGCTGGTAATATGACTCAAAAAAAACTTCGAGTGCAAAGGGTTAATATTTGATATATACAGTGATAATCACCTGCGTCAAAGGACTAGTGTTGGTGGTGAAGATGCCAGCGTACTCCTTCCTCTTGGCCAGCTGCAAGCAGTACTCCTCCATTTCTCTCATCACGATCACATTTTCCGCTGCGTTCAAATCACTGTGCGTCGTCATCATGAAATTATGGATGATCTGGCCCTTTCCCTTCGGCAGTTTATGCTCCCGGATCGGCGCCTCCAGATACTCGAGGAAGTCGAACACCACCGTCAGCTTCGAGTCGAGTATCACTTCCGGTTCGTCCCAAAGATCGAAGTTCAGGCCCACGCCGATCGTTCTGCCATTGTTCGACTTCACGACGAAGCTGAGATTCTTCTCGACCAATGGTACCCATAAACGTTCCATCAATTCGCGGTAGTCGTCCCTCGATATTTCTGTAATTAGCCATTGCTCGAGGTCCGCTTTGCTGTAGAAGCTTTCCGTAATGATCCTGTAACAGACAATTAATCCTGTTCCAGCACTATGCGATTTTCATAGCAATCGGAACACTCACGACACTTTTTCGCCAGCGATGCTTCTTCGTGAAAATTGCGGAGAATTTTAACAGAGAAGTGTCGCAAGTCTTGCAAATACGTAATGCGTGTTCTATAAATTATGATTAAACTGTAGAGCTTTGTAAAATGGACAAAAGTCTTCGAAAGTTTCCAAATTCAACGTTCTCTTCAGTTCCATTTTATCTTTCGTTCACCAAATCTATTGATTATAATTCGCTAATCTGCAAATCTTTGTGCAAACTTCTATTTTCATGGATTATCGTGCAGAAACCAGAAAAATGGATTTTCGCAGATTTGGGAGTTACTTCGGGTAACAATGAACAGGAAAAGTTAATTCTTTCGGTTAATGAGGCATATGAGCCATTTATTTTGAAAGTGACATAAGTCACCTTTTTTTTTTATTTTTTAAATGAAAAGCTACCGTTCAATTGTAATTAGTGTTACCATTGACTCGATTTTTTTGAAAAAGTGACTTATGCCACTTTCAAAATAAACGGCTCATATGTTTCTATTCTGTATAGATTTGCACATTCTAATAAAAAAGAAAAGTGGACTTGTCCCGAAATGTACATTCTAATCAACACGATTCCGAGAAGATTCGTGCAGGAAATACGCTAAGATACGTACTCGATGGCGTCCTCTCTATGCGAGTCATCGAGCATTTCATAGTAGTGTTGGTCTTCGCTGAGATTCTTTTCTACCGGCTCGTCATCTGTGCTGATTCTCATCCGGTCGATCACTTCCGCGAGGCTCTTCGCCGTGATGAATTCCGTGATGCCGATCTCGTAGCCTTGATCCCTCAACTTCGTCACCGTGTAGATCGAATTCAAGGAGTTGCCGCCAAGCTCGTAGAAATTTGCATCGAGCGTCACGTTCGCACGCCCACTGCGGCCTATCACCGACGCTACCGTTGGGAACAGGACCTTGGCTTTCTCGAGATCCTTCTCCGCTATGCCGACGTAGTCGCAGTTCAGGTACTCGTCATTATCTGCGCATAACGGATCGGAACAGTCATACCATGTACAGTTTGGTCCTTTCGCACGCGAAGTTTCCAACGAAATTCGAATTCAAGAAAAATAGACGAAGATAGTCACATGATTGTTTAGTTTATAGTCATTAGTTTATTATTTAGTATTATAATATATATATATATTATTAAGTATTATATTATTTAGTGTTATTTTTTAGTTTAGTATTATAATATATTTATATTATAATATATATATATATATTATAATACTAAATAATAAACTAATGACTATAACACTAAATAATATAATACTTAATAATATATATATATATATTATTTAGTGTTATTTTTTAGTTTAGTATTATAATATATATATATTATAATACTAAATAATAAACTAATGACTATAACACTAAATAATATAATACTTAATAATATATATATATATATTATTTAGTGTTATTTTTTAGTTTAGTATTATAATATATATATATTATAATACTAAATAATAAACTAATGACTATAACACTAAATAATATAATACTTAATAATATATATATATATATATATATATATATATATATATATATATATATATATATATATATATATATAT